AGAAAGGGTTGGTGGGGAATGCAAATAATCAATAACCAAGAGGCAAACAAGGCAAAGTAATGATAGAAAGAATTGCACTAGACCAGTGTTTCTCAACCTTGGGAACTTTAAGATGCGTGGACTTCAGCTCCCAGAATTCCCCAGCTAGCCATGCTGCCTGGGGAATTCTGGGAGTTGAAGTCCATGCATCTTAAAGTTCCCAAGGTTGAGAAACACCACACTAGACTGACTGTATAAATCTGTCTTTGCTTCCTGCCTCCCACCTTTGGTTTATGCACTATTTGAGATTTTTATGGACTTTCATTCTCTAGTTTGCCTGCTAGTACGAAAAAATCACATCTGCTCCAATTCCTAATTTATTCGTTGACACTTTTTCCTATGAGGAAAGGTTTCGCTCACATGATTCTTGCAATACTGTAGGTGTAAAAATGATATTTTGAAATATGAGAGGTATTATGACTATTTGATTTTTTTTTTTAACTTGAGGAACATATGACACTATATCAGACATAGGTTTAGAGTTTATAACTGCTCCCTAAATTAACACCAAATTTCTGTTAATTTAGTGACATTGGACTGCAGACAGGGCTTTTTTACTTTTATCAAAGGTAAAATAAAAACTCCAGATAAATCATTTATTCAAATCAACACAAGGGTTGATGTCTGCCTTTGCCACAACAGTCTGAACCACATGTTGTGGTCTGCCACAACATTCTGAACCTGTTACAAATCAAGCATCTTAAAACTAAAAGCCAACCTTGGAGCTATTATAAGACACAGAGAGAAATTCAAGAAAGTTTATTTTGGATACTGAATGCTTTGTGCCTCCCAGTGGAAATCAATACATGGCTATAACTTTTATTTCATTGTGAAAAAGTTTTGAATGATTTGAATGCAAGTGTAATCAAACCTATTGGGGGAAAATCACGCCTATTGCTGAAATGTTTAATTTTATTGAAATTAAAACCAGGTTGAAAATAATTGCAAGCTTGTTTAAAAGGTATATTTAAAAAAAAATGAACAAAGAAGTTAGGGCCCTCAATTCAGAAATGGGGCAGTGCAGAAAAAGTTCAGCCCTGACTTGCTATGAGATGACTTCACCAACAATTGGAGGTGAACCTTCTCAGATTTTCTCAGTGAATGAAGATAGGGAGGGTAGGCAAAAACAAATGTTCTTTTTAGATATTCTGGATCTAAGATGTTTCCTAGTTCCTACTTCTGGGAGAATGTCACCCATACAGAAGATAGAAGTCTACCAATTTCTGACTCCCCACAATGAGCATCTCCATCTTACCCAGATACTTTAATTTTATTCTCTCTTATCCAACCCATTATTTAGCACAGGCTAGTTTTCAGGGAGCCATAAAATTATCTAAAAGTGTTACAGAGAAAAAGATGTGTCATCTCCATGTTTGGGGAATATCGCTGGGAGATTTGGAGTTGGGTGCAAACCTAATAAAACAGAATGTAGCACAACATGCAGCAAACCAAAGCAAAATGTAAGACTGAAAGCTAAACACTCAGAATCCTTTCTCTAAGTAGCGGAAACCCACGATGAAACATTCCCTGTGTTTGGATGATTGCCTTGTCAGTCAGGATTCCTTCTGTCCTCATTGTTTTCATGTATCTCCACAAACCACCTGCCTGATTTTCTGTAGCCCTCCCAAGAACCAAATAATATATTTCCAAGTTTCAGAAAAGTCTAGATTTTTGTCACAGGGAATCCAATTTAGGCAGCTATCTAACATCTCTAAAACAGATTGATCTGGCTAGATCCAAGGTACATCCCTAAAAACATATGAGCACGGTCTGGAAGCTAGCTTGTTTGCCCTCCACAGTTACTGCCATAGACTCTTAGCTACTAGGTATCCCACCTAGCATTATTGCTATTCTTTAGGTTTTCTGGAAAGAGATTTGCTCACTGTTGAAGATTTTATTTTTAAGTGTTTGTGACAGCTCTAAAAGCTCACATCTTCCTTTCCAAATCCAGTAATTAAATTCCACCTACCTGAATTTCCCCCTGCTGTTTCAATTGAGCAAATTAATCTTCATACTATATTTTAAGTGCAATCGGAAATGTTAAACAGTTGTTTTTGTTCAAGTAAGAGGTAGAATATAAAAGTGACTTTATCTTGGGTGCGGAAAGCATGTAATTTCTCCCAACAAAGTGTTATGGGGTCTTTCTATTTGGATGTTCTTTCTCTGTTTAATTTATGCATTTAAAAAAAAAATCAGAAAAATCACCCCACATCCTCTGGCTACAGATTTTTGCAATAACAAATAGTGTTTGTTTGCAGAATAGGTCTATATGGAAGTAAATAAAAGTTGTGCTGTACTGCTGGAAAAAATGATTTTTCACCCTTCCTACCAGTTAATATTTTTTTCTCAGAGAATTATTCTTTCCTAACCCACAAAATGGTTAGACACCAAAATATCAATTGTTTCTGCACAAACTACTGTATATGATTTCACTATGTTTTCATTCTACTTTATGATTTGGTAACATTGATGTAATTTGTTTTAAAAAAGGGAGAAAGAAAAAAATAATCTTTATTGCCCTGGAATAAAGTGAGCCCTTTATTGCTCACTTTAGGCCTGTAAAGGAAGAATTGTCTCCAAGCAAACAAGAAAATGTTTTTAAGCTGGAAAGCACAGTTGCATACTCCTTGTAGTAGTGAATGTACCAAACGCCTTGCACAAGTATTACAAAAATTATTATGCACAACAAATTACAAGCTGGAAATTCTAGGTGCCTTTGCCACAAACCAAAGGGTTATCAACATACTGCAGAAAAATCATGGAATGTTGTTAGAGGAGGCAGGAGGTAGATCCAGATTTACTAGTGGATCCCTGGATAGTTTGCCATTGATGGGCTCTTAGTAACTAGATGTTTTAGCATCCCAGACCCATCAGCCTTGGCCAGCATGTTAAGTGGCAACTGACTGTGAGAACTGGAGTCCAAGAGAACTAGCAGTTTTGTTGACCTTGCTATATACTAATCAGGATTTTAGATTTCCAATTATTTAACAATAGAAGCAACAAAGTGACCCTCCTCCCAAATACTGTTGCTGAAATAATAACAATAGTACTAATGAAATAACTAGGGCGAGAATTTTGTACAGAAGGGCTGTGAGCTCCGTTTGGCTCTGGTGTTCAGGTAAGATTTCTGGCTTCAAAGTCTTTAATTCTAAATAAATGTATTTTGGAATAAGACTCTACTTGGTGGGTCAGGAGTTCTAGGACCCAAGAAAAACTAGATGCCACAAGCGTGGAATCTGTCCAGCCCTACCTAAGAAGAAATACTTCTCAAGATGTGCCTCTGTAGGCAGCCTGTTCTTGTGGTCCCTCCTATTGCTTCAGGGACCACCAGGAGAAGAAGATTATGCAAAGAGGCGCTCCAGACGTACGTCTGCAGGCAGCGACTTGCAATACGGTACTGTATTTGCTCGGAGCAGCTCTCTCCTCTGCCCGCACCCTCCCCCCAAGGCGGCCCAAGCGGGAGAATTTTTTCAACCGCTCCTTCAGGGAGGCAGGCAAGAAACGATTCACATGGGTGACCAAGCACGCGCAAAGATGTCTATTACGCCCGTGAATATTACTGCCTGCCACGGAGTAAAGCCGGAAAGTGTTTTTATAGCGACTGTACTGTCTAGCCATTGGTGTAATAACTGGCAAAGGATAGACGAGGGCGGGAGAGGGGAGAGACCGCGAAAATTGTGCAACGAGCCTAATTCCCTCGCATACTTAATCTTGAAATAACTTTAACTGACTCGCAGCGAGGGTTGGGTGCCCGAGGGTTTAGATGTAATCTGACACAAATCCCAGGGCAGACGCGCGTGGCATCACGCTATCAGCACTGAGCTGCTCTTCGCCCCGATCTTCTGAAGCAGGGCCCACCAGTAAATGCAATGGAAATACCGTGTGAAGGGCAGTCAGGAGCCGTAGGATCACGCATGGTCTGCGCCATCGGCCAACCGCGCATTTCCCTCATAGGCAGCTTTCCTCTTCCCCCCTGCCCGAGCTCGGCCGGGGCATTTCTCGCTGAACTCGTTCCAAAGTTGCTGCCTTTGGCCCCTCACCCCATCCCAACTCAGCTAGCCCGGTCCTCCGGCCAGGAGCGAAGCGCGCCTCTTCAGCTCACCCCCTCGCTCGCCGCCAATCCCCGCCGGAGCCTCCCCCGGCTCCGGCGATCTCATCCTCGCGGGGAGCTGC